AGAGAGAGAATTTTTTAATATTTATTTATTTTTTTAGTTATTGGCGGACACCACATCTTTGTATATGGTGCTGAGGATTGAACCCGGGCCGCACGCATGCCAGACGAGCGTGCCACCACTTGAGGCACATCCCCAGCCCTTCTCTAAAATTTTTTAGTTAACATTCATTTCACTTTGTGCATGTGAACTTCACTAAAAAATAATTTAACTACTATATTATAGCTTTGCAATTCATCTCCCTCAAGTTCTCAAATAGTTTTATTTTTTCAGGGAAATACGGAAAAATTAACATTTATTGAACATTAACAATGTCCTTCATGTAGTTTTCTTGTAAGTATTTCCATTTTCAAAAAAGGTTAAGGTTTAAATTCTCATAAATGTTCAGTAATTTGTTCAATTTCACATCTCATCTTTTTTTCTGTTCTGATAAATGTTATTTTCTAGCCATTTCTAACCGGTTCTGTTCTTCAGCATATATTTTCATTAGTCCATCTGTTTTATAAACTATGTAAGTTCAGACTTAATTAATGACTCTAACAATAATCTGATCAGTGCAAAGCAGGTATACATTGTTTTTTTACTTGTTTTGGAGAATACACATTTATTAATATATTTCCTTTTTCTTTTCTTTTCTTGCTCCATTGAAGATTTGAAGTGAATTTTCTTTGTTTTATTTAATATATTGATTATTTGTGGAAAGATTTGTGATCATCTTGCTTCAGCCTCTCAAGTTTATGGCATTACAGGTGAGTACCAGCATGCACAGCCAGAATTATTTTTCTTTAATAGTATACATTAAGTGTTATATGTTTCAACAACAAGCCAATTCAATCAATCTTATTCATTTATTTTATAATATTCTGTGTTTTGACTCCCCTTTATCCAGAGGAAAAAGCACTGAAATATAAGCAACTCTATGCTATCAAATTGGAAACCCTAAAAGAAATAAATAAATTTCTGGTCACATATATCTTACCAAAACTGAACAATGAAGACAAAAACATCTTGAATTATCAAAAATAAGGAATATGATTGAGTCAGTAAATAAAGTCTCCAACAAATAAAATGTTGGGAACAAATGGCTTAATTTTACTAGACTTTCAAAGAAGAAATAATATAAATTATTCTCAAACTATTCCAAAAAATTGCAAGGGAGAAAGTACTTCTAAACTCATTCTACAAGGTCAGTATTACTCTGATACTAAAAACCATACAAGGACATAATTTAAAACAAAAAAAAGAAAACTACACCCAATATCTCTGATGAAACTGATGCAAAATTTTTCAACTAAATACTAGGAAATTAAAGCCAATAACACCACCAAAATAAGTAGGATTCACTCCAAGGGTGAAAGGATAGTTCAATGTATACAAATCAGTATATGTAAAACATGACATCAACAGAATGAGAACAGAAAATATATGATTATCTCAAAAGATGCAGAAAATGCATCTGATAAAATTCATCATTCCTGATAAGGAAAAAAACCCTCATCAAGTAATGTATAGAAATTAACCTCAGCAAAATAGACTGTATATGACCAACACACAGGCAATATGGTACTGAATGGAAACAATTGAAATCATATTCTCAAGGATCAGAAACAAGATAAGAATGTTTGTTTTCACTGTTCTTTGCTCAAATAGCATAGAAATCTTAGCCAGAGCTATAAAGAGAGGAATAAAGAAAATTCCAGTAGGTAGGCAGGAAATCAAATTATCCTTGCTTTCAGGCAACATGATTTTATAAAAAGAAAATTTAAGACTGGCAAAAATTTAACTAATAAATGAATTCACTTAAGTTGCAGATGTAAAGTTAGCAAACAAAATAAATAGTACATTTAGACATCAATAAGATTGATGAGAAATAAATAAATAAATCCCATTTGCAATAGCTACAAAAAATAAAGTACAATTATGGAAATAAATTTAAGCAAAGAAATTAATTATCTATATAAAACACTGAAGGATATTGAAAAATACTCCCCACCCAAAGACCTCCCATATTTATGGACTGAAATATTTACTGGTATTTATAGCTATAATAGCCACACTACCCAAAGTGTTTTATAGATTCTATGTAATCCTCATTAAAAAATTACTATTCGTCTTCAAAGAAATAGAGAAAACTGAACTATTCAAATGAAATTTTAAAAGATCCATGAATAGTCAAAACGATCTTGAACAAAAGTAACAAACCCAAGGCTATGACAATACCTGATCTCACAAAACTTATAAAACTATAATAACCAAAGCAGCATGATACTGAAAAGAAAAAGGGTAAACTGACCAAAGGAACAGAGGAGTAGAGAATGCAGACATAAATTCCAACATCTATAGCCACTACAGATGTACCCAAAACATATAATTGAGAAAGAACAGTCTTTTTCAGTAAACCATGCAAGGACAATTGGATATCCATAGGTAGAAGAATAAAATTAACTAGACCCTTTTTCTAATTTTATATATAAAATACTTGTGTGGTAAGAATCTTAACCCAATCAGTAATTTAATCCCCTAGTGGGGATTAAAGGAGTTGTAACTGAAGTGGTAGAGTATGGCTGGAGGAGGTGGGAATTAGGGAGTGGCTTTGGGGTACATCTTTATATTTGGCAAGTGGAGTTTCTCTCTCTCTCTCTCTCTCTCTCTCTCTCTCTCTCTCTCTCTCTCTCTCACACACACACACACACACACACACACACACACCTCTGATCACCCTGATGTGAGCTGCTTCCCTCTGTCACACTTTCCCATCATGATATTCAGCCTCACCTAGACCCCTGAGGAATGGAGCTGGCCTTTTATGGACTAAGACCTCTGAAACTGTGAGCCCTTAAATAAACCTTTCCTCCTCTAGAGTTGTTCTTATCAGCTCCTTTAGTCAAAACAACATATGTCTCAAAATGGATAAAAATTCTAAATGCAAGATCCCAAACAATTGAAGTATTAGAAAAGAAACATGAGGAAATACACTTCAAGAAATTAGTATAGACAATTAGTTTGTTGATAAGACCCCCAAAACACAAGTGACCAAAACAGAAATAGACCAATAAGATTGCTTCTCCATAGCAAAAGAAAAAAATCAAAATAGAGAAAAGACAACTTGAAGAATTGAAGAAAATATCTACAAGCCATTTATCTCACAATGGATTAGTATGCAGAATATACAAGGAACACAGAAGACTCAACAACATTGATAACAGCAGCAGCAACAACAAAGATAATAGTCATTTCAAAATTTGGTAAATGATTTGAATTGATGGTTCTAAAAAGATAGAGTCAATGAGTGTATGTTCAACATCATTAATCATTAGGGGAATGCAGATCCAAACTATAATAAGAGAGATCATCTCATCCCAGTTAGAATGGCTAATCAAACTAAAAAGAGAATGTGGAGGAAGTGGAACTTTTATATACAATGTGAGAATGTAAATTAGTATAGCCATTATGGAAAACAGTATGAAAATATCTCAAAATACTAAAATTAGAACTGCCAAGTGATCCAAGGGTCCTAAGGAAATGAAATCTGTATATTGAAGATATCTGCACTCCTGAGTTCACTGCTATACCACACATACTGCCAAATGTGGAATTAACTGAGATAATCACCAATGAATAAATAAGATGTAGTGTGGATGTACATACACATGTAAACACACATACACACAATGGAATATTATTCAGTCTCAAATAAGAATAAAATGTTTGCATATGGTAACACAGATGGAATTAGAGGACATTATGTCAGGAAATAAGGAAATAAGCCAGAAAAGGAAATACAAGACCTCATGTTCTTGCTCATCTGTGAAAACAAAGAAGTTGTTTTCTTTGAAGTAGAGATTAGAATAGTAGTCAATAGAAATTAGGAAGGATGGGGGAGAAGGAATAGAGGGAGGCTGAATCATAAGTACCAAATACAATGATACAGAAAAAAACGTTATAATGTTCTATAGCACAGTAGGGAGACTATACTTCACAGCAAATTTATAAAATTTATACCACATGATGGCAAAAGGTTGAAAACAATATACAAAGTATAATAGAAATTTCATGCTCAATTACCTGTAAATAGAAAAAGGAGAGGAATTCATGGGAAGACTTATTTTAGCTAAGGAGATGTAAGCTATTTTTATGTTCATTTGATTATAGCCAGTGATTTTTTAAAAGGGTGGAAATAAAATATTCTTAATTATACATGACTATAAACATAATGGAAATATTTTAAGTATTTCAATTAATTTATTTTAAAATTTCTCATATTATTTGCATTAATGTTCATGAAAATATGCTTATACTACATTTTCAATGAAATCTTTTGTCTTGTTTTAACCTATAAAGCAGGATTGAAATTATAACAATGTTTCTTTCATTAATTTTAAGTTGTTATAATTTTAATATAAATGATCAATAGCTGGTTTTGAAAGAAGTTTCTTAATTTAAAATTTCATTTTTATAAATATATCATAGGGCTGGGAGCATAGCTCAGTGCTAGTGTGCATCCTAGCGTGGAGAAAGGTCTGAGTTCATTCCCCAGTATCCTTCTACCTTATCCCATATACACTAAAAATATATAGTTGTGTGTGTGTGTGTACGTGTGTGTATGTGTGTCACAGTTGATTGAATATGATTATATAAAACATGCAAATGATCCAACTTCTTTTCTTAATCAGAATATAAGAACTAAAACAGATCATAGCTGCTGTTTATGTCTAGAAGGGACAGAAGTATTAGAAATGCAAACACTGTGAGAGGAGCAAAGGGAAATTTAAAGCTGCACTTGTCAAGCTTCATTATTTTTATATCAGAGGCAGAGTTAGAGTTCATACTAAACCTCCAACTGAACTTATAAGCCAAAAAAAAAAAAGTAATTAAGTTGTATAGAGAAGCTGTGCTTTAGGATGTAACTAAATTTGGGGTGATGATAATTACTTGGCTATAATAATTTTAATAATGTAAAAAAATGTAGTAAATATGTTTGAATACATTCCTGATTGGACTTAATCAGTTAAATATGCTTTCATATTTAAAGGTTTTTTTTAAATCTGTCATGTCACAATTAGGTAAGTACAAATCTAGAGATGAATTTCCAGAGGAATTAGCATCTGCTACAAAGTCCAAAACCTGAAGGTTTTTTAGATTCCTTAATATACCTCATGATGTTTAGAATAATACAGAAATGGTATGCCCATGATATCTTCATAACAGATGGTTTCTTTGGCTTATAGAGGTAAATACTATAGAGCAAAACCTGATTGCCTATAGAACCAGTGAACATGCAAGCAAGGACAAGATATAGGTGACAGTGAAGAGTGTGAAGAGAAAATTAAGAGAATCTAGACAAGGGGCAAAAAGAAGTAAAATCCTAAATAGTTTTTTTTTTCTAAAAATATTTTTATATGAAATGTCATACATGAAATTTTTGAAAGGAGCTATATTATTCTGTGCAAGAATGATCTAAGTAGAAATGAAAGAAATGGATTAAAAGATGATGAAATGGCAAAAGACAAGGGAATTATATCAAGGAATAGATGTCTATTTTTATTGAAATATTTTAATATGAAATGTCCCCCAAAGCTTCATGTGCTAAAGATTTGGTCCCATATGTGGTGATACAGGAAGTTGGTTGAACTTAGTCAAAGGAAGTCAGTTCTTTGGGGTACACTTTTGAAGGAGATGTTGGGACTCAACTCCTTTCTTCTTTCTCTTTGTTTCCAGGTCATCATGAGGTAAACAGTCTTTCTCTACCACATTCTCCTGTCAGGATACACAGTGGGGCTACAAGTCCAAAGCAACAGAACCAAGCAACCCTATACTGAAACCCTGAGCCAAATGAATCTTCGCTCCTTTTAAGTGGATTATCTTGGGTATATTTGTCACAGTAATGGAAAGTTGACTAACACAGCTATATAGCACATTTTTCCTAAATTTAGTGCCAATGACAAACATTTATTACTCACAGTTTCTCTGAGTTAGGAATTCTTTGTTGGTGAATTGGCACCAAGTTTTCTCAGGAGGTTATAAACAATTGACTTACACCACGGTTTCATCTGAAGACTGGTGGTAGTGGTGGAAAGGAAGCATCTAAACCCATTCATGTGATTAGTTTTAACCCCATTGCATTGCTTCATATATAAACTGACTTTGCCAAGTATGAGCAATTTGAAAAAGAACAAGAGCGAGAGCCTGAGGCATATGCCACAGTGTTTTCATAAAATAGTTTCAGAAAGAATATCTCATTACTTTAGTTGTTTTCTGTTCTTTAGAATCAATACAACAAGTTTAACCCATTATCAAAGGAGAAGAAATTAAGCAAGGTGTGAGTACTGAGAGGTAGCAATCCAAGAGGACTATTGTTGGGACTTATTTTCAATATTTCAAATTATTCAGTATTTTTTATTTGTGCTATAGGCAATATAATCACTTAAACTAAGAAGAGAATGAATGTTAGATTAAGGAAAAGAACACATTAAATCGGGTAGCACAAGAAAGAATAATAAATGTTCAATTTAAAAAAATAAATAGAAAACAAACTAGATTCACTTCAATATTGTAATGGTATGGGCAATTAGGAAAAAGAAAGTAGAGAATTCTAAGCTATTCTGAAGTAATCAACAAGGGGCAATTTCATTGTATATGTTAGTCATATCAGGATAAAGATTTTCAGAAGAACAATAATACTTCAGTCTTGTGAAAACAAGGCTTGAAAATAGAAGATAGTAAATAAAAACTAGAGCCATTAAACTGGTTATGATCAAGATGTTTGTGAAGGCTCTGATAAATAAGCAACTTCGCCCCAAGATGAGATTCAAAAAAAGCATAGGATTTTGTCACTGGATATGAATTTGAAGAATTACAGAATAATTCAAAGACTACTAATCACTAAGCCATGATGTTCCAGGCACAAGTATCGAATATGTCATGTTTCTCATTTAATTAGTACATTAATACAAGGAATGTTGTTAAGAAATTCATTGTGTTTACATTCCCAAAACAAGTGGCAACCCCTGTAGATTAATTTAAATCAATAATTATAACTCCAACCCCTTTACTGATGGCCCATTGAGGACTGGTAATATGGTCCATTGTGAAGAAGAATCTATGAGAAGATGTCTATTGTGGGCATCTGGAATAGATTTTTCTTTCCAAATAATGTCAGTGAGAAAGATAAGGTGTCTGTTTTCCTATTGGAATTTATCATGTTTACATATAATACTTTAGAACTGCTATAAATATCTTGCTCTTAGCTCAAAGATGAAATCTACATTAAAGATGACACAATTTACCTAATTATATTTAATGCTGCAGTGATACATTTTAGAATAAATACCAAAATGAAAATATCTCAAATATTCTCAATTTGACAAATCCAGATTTTTTTAAAAATTACTATTTTTTTGCTTATCTTTTTCACTAATTTGAAAATGAAGAAGACTGAATGAAATCTCAGATGTATTAGCAGTTTTTTTTCTTGTAAGAGAAAATATGTGTTGCATCCCTATAATTTCTAAATAGAAGAAATGCAAAAGTGGAAAGACAGTAGGTTGGTTTATGAAATTAACCACTTGGCATCTGTAGCAGATATTTACTTACTGCCAAATATTTACCACAATAAACAACAGTCTTTGCTGTCAAATTTTATTACAGCTTGCATCGAGGAAGGAAAGTTCCCTTAGGAACAGTTCTTGTTTGACAAAAATGAACACAGTGTCATTTTGCTTTCTGTTTATGGAAAGACAAAAATAAACACTTATTTCGGTAATTGTAACATCTTCAGAGTTCAGACATTCTGCCTATCAAAAATGAATTGTGGGAGACTATATAACATCAAATAACAACTCTGGCTACCCACTTCTAATTCCCTGGTATTATTATAAAAAGCAAAATACTGAGCTGAGGAAAATCAGACAGCCAATTTTCATTGCAGTATGGTTTGGGAATGAAAATAAACAGTGTGATTTCTGTAGACTTCTCAGAACTTTCATGGTACAGTGGTTGTGCACTGGGGGTCAGCCCCTGGGTGATTTGAACTGTGGTGTGTCAAGATGCTATAACTAGTGGACCCATGTTTGCTATTTGTGGGTGATTAATTTTGATTTACTTTTTATCTTTTAACAAATAAGCATTAGATATATACTGTATGAAAATAGTTTCAATAAATTTATCCTAATTGTATTATTTTACATTTTTCTCTTCTATATTTTACTCCTTTGATTTGACATTTCCTAATAGACATACTTTTGACAATGACAATGCACAAATATAACAAGGATAGAATAGAAGAGAATTTAAATTTTAATATTTTATTTCCAAGATTATATGCATTCTAGCACACACACCCTCTACCAGGAATAAAGATAACAGTAATTAATAATACTATGCCAAATATTTTGATATATCATAATATTGTGTTAATTCTTTCTTCCTAAACCTTCTTGACCAAGCATACTAGCCTTGGAAAAGGGTCCAAAACAACTAAACAATATTATTCTATAGTTTGCACTCTTGACAGCTGTAAACCAAAAGCTACTATAATACCCTTGTCCTCTAAGTCAAGAGTGTGATGATGGGTACACATTTTAATTTATATAGGATGAATGAGTTCTATAGAACTGTGGCACAGCATTGTGACTACAGTTAACAAAAATGTATTACATACTTGGAGATTTCTAAGGGAGTCAATATTAAATGCTCTCATCACAAAAATAAGCAAACGTAAGTATGTGAGGTGATGTTTACATTAATTATATTGATACCATAAATTTACAGTGTAAACATATGTAAAAACATTGACTTGTATGTTGCAATTATAAGCTATTTTTGTTTGCCAATTGCATATTTTAAAAGCTGGAGAAAAGATGGGTACCACATATTAATGAATCAAAATTGAAATAAACAGGGGCTGGGGATGTGGCTCAAGTGGTAGCGTGCTCTCCTGGCATGAGTGCGGCCCAGGTTCGATCCTCAGCACCACACACAAAGATGTTGTGTCTGCGAATAACTAAAAAAAATAATAAATATTAAAATTCTCTCTCTCTCTCCCTCTCTCTCTCTCTCTCTAAAAAAAAAAAATTGAAACAAATAATAAGATGTACACTGCAAAAGGCTGTCTTTTCCCATGTTTTCAAAGGCTCTCCATGCCCAAATTTTAAGTTATCTTAAAAATTTTCCAGTGTATCTGTCAACCTGGCATCACTAAAATCCATTTGCAATTCTCAGATGTTGAAGACAATGCATGAGCATCTTCTTTCCTAAAGCCGCCCGGGGTATTTTTCTTGAGTAGATAGTATATTTGGAAAAATTATCAAATTCTATCTTATTTCAATTTCCTTCCCATCCCTGTTCTCTGTCCAACTACCACCACCTGCTTTTCTTCCTTTTCCTATAAATGGACTATATCCTTTCTACCCCTTGTCTTCTTAGTTAAAACTTTCATCAGATCAGAATGCACATTTGAGATGCACTCTGAAAAATGTGGATGCTTTCCCTTCCTCTTTTATTCCATCATCTTTCTGTTCAATATCCCAAACTACAAATTGAGCCTTTTTTCCTTCCATTTATACAGAAAATCAGGTGCTTTAGTCGGCCTTTTTCTGCTGTGACCAAAAGATCAAACAAGAACAATTTTAGAGAAGGGAATGTTTACTTGGGGGCTCACACTTTCAGAGGTCTCAGTCCATAGGTGACTGATTCCATTCCTCAGGGCCTGAGGTACGGCAGGACATCATGGCAGAAGAATACAGCAGAGGAAAATGGCTCAGGACATCACACCAGGAAGTAGAAAGGTACTCTTCTCATCACCAACAAAACACAAACCCCAAGGGCACAACCCATAAATCCAGCCCCTCCAACCATAGACTACCTAGTTAACATCTAGTTAATTTTAATCAGGGAATTAATACACTGACTAGTTAAAATTCTCATGCCTGAATCATTTCACCTCTAAATTTTCTTACATGAGCTTTTGGGGGATATCTATATCCATAACATTGAGATATCCATTTTTTGAGAATGGGGTCTCAATTTATTGCTGAGGCTGATCTTGAACTCCTGGGCTCAAGTAATCCTCTCTCCTCAGCTTGTCAAGTAGCTAGAACTGCAGGCACGTGCCACCCCACCCAGCAAATTAAGACTTTGTGTGTAGGAGTGTGGTGTGGTTTGGGGAATGGAAATCAATGCCTCACACATGCTGGGCATAGCCCTGACTATTCTCATCAATATCAATACATCATATAGGAAACATGAACCAGTGAAAGATCTTGAACATGGATTTTATAAACTACTATACTGGGACCGAGGTATAATTACTGCCTGTACTATTTATTAGAACTGATAACAAAAGTCTGTCATACAGAAACGTTCTATGTTGGTAAAGCTAAAGACATAGAAATAATTTAGATTCTAATGTATGGAGAATATTTCCCACTTTTCTTCTTGAAATATCACAGAAATCACAGGTAACAATGGCATGGGGAAAAAAATAACATTTCAGTGGAAATGTGAGATTAGAGCTATGTGTAAGTTGGGGAAATGAAATCCCCTTTTACAGTGACTGCGGAGTTTCCACAAATCATTTGCAAAGGTTCTGTTGACTTAAATAGTGGATTAGAGTGATCCCTAAACCTATGACTCGTGTTCTTAAGAGGAAAGCTTGGCACAAAGAAACAGGGAAATATCATGTGAGAGAAGCTATGCAGCTATAAATTAAGGAATGATAAATACTGCTTACATATCACAAGTATCTGGAAAAATTCAAAGAAGGATCCTATCCCAGAGGCTACAGAGATAGTGCAGCCATGCCAACACCTTGATTCTAAAATTCTACCCTGCAGACCACTGAGGGATACATTCTATTTAATGAGGTCTAGTTTGCTATAGCTTAAGAAACTAATACAAGTGTCACAAAATAGCCTACACTGAAGAATACGTAAAGGGTAAGTGTTCACATTCTAAAACCAAAATGTGGCCTTTCAGTACATTTTGTCACTTAATAATCTGACTTTGGATGAGTTATCCAGTTCAAATCTTGATTTTTTTTCATGTGGAAAACAGAATTAAAACTATCTTTCTCATAAAGAAATAAGATGATTGGGCTGGGCATGTGGCTCAAGCAGTAGCGCACTCGCCTGGCATGCGTGGGGCACTGGGTTCGATCCTCAGCACCACATAAAATAAAATAAAGATGTTGTGTCCACCGAAAACTGAAAAATAAATATTAAAAATTCCTCTCTCTCTCTCTCTCTCTCTCTCTCTCTTAAAAAATATCTTATAAGAAATAAGATGATGGGTATGTAGTGCTCATCATAGTGACTGGCATATAGTAAGAGCTCTGTAACCATTGCCCATATATTTATTTTTTTAAATGTCCCCATAAGAAATAACCTATACCAGTGAAGTAACATTTTTAATATAAAACATAATCATACGGTCTCTTTGTTTACCCCCTTGGAACATCTAGCAACTTTCATTTAAACAAACTATCCAAAGCATTGAAGCATTTTCACATGGAGTTTAATTAACAGCCAGTAGTTTAGCAGAGCCTCAGTGGGCAAAATTCTCTCTAGCAATACTCCATCCTCTTGAGCACTGAAAGTCTCATAAAATACGATGTATGAAAGGGCTTGGGATGTAAGTAAATAATACCACCATTGACTGAGACTTGTATACCTTCCTGACATGTGTATCTGACCTGTGAGAACATAGCCATGCAAGTAGTTGACCCTTGGAAAGTTGTCAGACAGGTAGAAAAATCCATGTAAAATTATGTAGGACCTATAGGCTACTATTGTCCAAGAGAAAGTTTTTAAGAGACAGGAAGAGCTCTTCAGAGGGCATTAGAATTATGGTTGACATAAGGTAAAGGTGTCTGCTAATGGCCTGGAACCTCATGGAATGGAAACTCTTCACTTTCCACCCTCCAGAAGGTGATTATAATTCATAAGGCCACAGTCAGGACCCCAGAAATTTAACATTTTTGGGGGGGGGCACCGGGGATTGAACCACAAGGGCGCTGGGCCACTGAGCCACATTCCCAGCCCTGTTTTGTACTTTATTTAGAGACAGTGTCTCACTGATTCGCTTAGCACCCCACCTTTGCTGAGGCTGGCTTTGAACTTGTAATCTTCCTTCCTCAGTTCCCAAACTGCTGGGATTACAGGTGTGCACCACTGCACCCTGCATAAGAAATTTAACATTTTAACAGATGCCTTAGATGATGCTGATTCAGGTGTTCTAGAATTCACATTTTGAGAAACATTGGCTTGTATAATAGGGAGCAAGTAAGGTCCAATAATTTTGTTTTAGTAATATTTTTGAGATCATGTAAAGATATTATCATCCCTGCAGTCCAGATTGAACTCAGGGACACTTAGCCACTGAGCCACATCCCCAGCCCTAATTTTAATTTTAGTTAGAGACAGGGTCTCACTGAGTTGCTTAGTACCTTGCCTTTGCTGAGGTTGGCTTTGAACTCACTATCCTCCTGCCTCAGTCTCCCTAGCTGCTGGAACTACAGGCATGTACTACCATGCCTGGCTAGATATCATCATCTAAAATCCCTCATTTTGACTTCAAATTCTTTGATCAAAATTCCACAGAAAAATATCTTCCCATTCTTTCATTACATTGTTTCATTTCACTAAACTAGAATAGATGGAAAGAAAGATTCTTATATTGTTATTCACACACTGTGCTGAAAGTATAATTTGGGCAATAAGCCTTTGAGTTCAGGTTAAAATACAAGAACTTAGCTCTAACTTCTGAAAACTTATTTTAAGAGTAGCTCTCAACCATTGCTGCATTAGAGTAATATGTGGAGCCCTAACATATATACCCCTCAGACCAATTAAATCAGAATTTCTGGTTATAGTCACAGGGCACAGGGATTCCCAAATTAATTCTAATATGCAACCAAGGCTGAGAACCATTGCTTGGATGGAATACACTTATTGAAAGCTACATGACCAAGGCCTTTGCCTAATAATAAGAAAACTCTGCTTCTTAATTCTCTGGTCCTCTGGAAACTACATATACCCTCAAGATTCATCATAAAATATTTGTATATGCACAAGACTTTACATAATGAAGTTGGTGAATATTGTGCATTCTAAATTTTAGAAATAAAAGACTGGGGGTGCTTATTACAGAAAAAAGTCTACGAGATAGAAACACTATAACTTGCATG